AGGGGTTACTTGTGTAGTATTTTATTTGGGGAGACTATGGTACCCAAGATAGAGTAAGATTCTATCCTCCTTTTGGGGTATAGTATTTTATATAAGGAATATAACCTTGCTAGGTTCAACCACCAAAAAACACTACTCAGGTGGTCATTGCAGCTTCAACACACGACGCGACCCTGCACGACCAACACTTGTAACATGCATAGACGCAGCAGCGGTCACAATAGGGAGTTCAACAATGGCAGCAGTGAACGCAATCAGAAAAACTTTATTGAACATTTGTCGTAGTTGCAACCAGCATTACACTTGCGAAGACACATTGAAGCATCATCAGCCGCAGGGTGCGTGTTGCGCTTTTGAGATCATAAGCGGGACCGCGAACAGAAATCGTCTCACAATTTATCTCTGTGTAATCCCGTTATCATCCCTGCAAGCCTTCATTCCAACCTTCATATTCGCATGTGAACTCATCCAGCCCAGACCAGCTGAAGGATCCAAAAAATCGAACCTCCCAAGATGACCCCATTTCTACGTTGCTGAAACTACGGAATCTTTTGGGAAGGTTGCCCTTTTTGGAACCCTCAGAGAGAGGACGAAAACAGAAGGTCCCAGTATAGACACCAATTTATATATCCCTGCATATCCCCTCAACAGCCTATATATGTTAGGTGGACCCCCCACGCAGCAATAGTGGCTATAGGGGATAATAGGGATTATATTAGGGTCCTCTTATATTCCTATTGTACCACTATTACAGGGTGGGGGGTCCTCCTAATGTATATGGTCATGCGCTTGCTGGTCCTCCCCCACCCCCCCCCCTGGTCTAGGCCAAGGCCTCCTTGCCCTTTCCTGTGGTTGGGGCCCTTCCCAGGTGTGGCTGGGGGTGGTTGGGTTTAGGGTTTAGGGTTTAGGGGGTGTGTGCGTGGTTGGGGTTGGGTGGGATGAGGAGAGAGCACTTGAGGTCTTCCTTTCCTTCCTGTCAGTGTGGGTTTGTGGAGGTCTCACAAATCCAGAATTACATTGGCCATTTGTAAGTTTATATAGTATGGGGATGAGAGAAGCTTTTTTGGACATGGATTAAACGAGATAATCTATAGATGTGTAGATATAGAGATGGGTTGTCATTCCTATGCAGCCTATGCGGTGTTTCAAACGTTTACAGAGGGTTTTAGAAGGACTATTCATCGAGGAATATTTGAAACGTTCAACTACCAAAATCAACAACAACCCCAAAGATTGCGGCGCAAACTAGCCCATCCCCGTAACTGTCGGCATGTTTGGAATCTTGTACACAGAGCCAGACTCCAAAAGCGACGACAGTCATGAAAATGGCACCTTCCAGACACTCAATCCCTGTGACTGTTGTCACTTTTCAGATTGCGCAGGGCTAAAACGACGACAGTCAGGGAGATTTCGCGCGTTCATGCCCCCCCACCCCCTCCCAGACCATGCCATGGGGGAGGGGGCAGGAACGCCAGACGCTTGACCACATATTCCCATGTAATTAACGTTATATGTATCCACTAACACCCCGTTAGAGGAGCCCACTGGTCCAACCCCCCCCCCCAAAAAAAAATCCAGGCTGACCTCTGCGAATCCGCGTTACGGAAGGCCTCAGCTGTGATCGAGGAAGGAGTTTAGGGGTTAAGGGGTTAGAGTTTTAGGGTTTAGGATTTCGGGTTTAGGGTTCTGGGCTTAGGGTTTAGGTTTAAGGTTGGAATTTGGGTGGCCTTCCTTCTTAGCAACTTATACCCACTAAGGGGTATATAAAGATGTATGGGTATGTAGAGGGGAGATATGTAGGGTTTAGTAAGTTGTCGAATCATCTTCTGACTTAGCAAGTTTAGTCTACCTACTTTCCTTAAACACCATAGTGGAACCTCCCAATAGCTTCTAGTTGGGGGACTCAATTTTTTTAGAATCCTTTGGAAGGCTTGAATATAATTACAAGCTCCATGTCACTAGGCATTTACTTACAGAGTCAACAGAGCATCCGAGTATTTGCTTCCATGTGACAAAGTTGTTGGAAAGAATTGGCTATGTATCGTGTCGGGAAAGTATGAACAGCATGTAGCCAAGACGGTGAGGATGAGCCGAGAGGATATCTGGAGTGGTTACAGTGAGCTCGGGCCGCGGTTCCCAGGTATTCAAGGCTTAGGGCTTCGGGTTCATCATAGTCCATTGATGGACATTTTCCGCAGCTGTCGATAGGCATGCAGTGCACGTGCGGCTCAAATCCCGTGTTAGATTGCTGCTTCATTCCTCCTCTTGGGTGGGTTATTGGCCACACGGGTTGGGACTACACTGCTATTCTTGCCGTCGTTTGCACTTTGCATTGACGACGACGGCCTGGAAAGTTTGCACCAATCCAAAAGAAGATGATCAACGTCACTCGGGTTCTGGGAGTATTAAACCATGCAGAGTCTGTTTTGTCCCTGCCCGTGGTGGGCATGCAGCCTCCTGCGCGATGCTCTGAGGTACAGCGCTTCGCTGTGGGGACTACACGGTGCCCAGGGCGGGTGGCTATCATCCCGTTCTCCTGACCGTGCCCGTGTTGCTTCAGCCACTGCAGGTCAGAACGCACTGTCGCGGATGTTCGGCTGAAGAGCATATCAGGCGTCGTGCCCGCTGTCGTCGAGGTACTATGACGAGTGATAGTGCAAGGCTCCTTGAACCAGCCAGTGGCATGCGCGCGCGCGCGCGGCTGTGGTAGCTCAAAATTCTTCTCACATTTGACAAAACTCAATGTTTCATGGAGTGAAAGGGCCTGGCAATGTAGAAGTTTAGTACTCGCCGACTTATTCTTTTACGAACCTCGGCGCATGTATAGTAGAATAAATCCTGAGGGCTTGTTCTGACTACTCAAGCTCCTCCACTGCCACTCTTGCAATCCCTTATTTAAGTGCACGTTTCATCTAAACTTCCAGTTTCCTTTCCGCTTGATTCTCCGCGCTCCCACTATTTAGGCCCCTAAAGCTTAACTCTGTTCAATATGCCATAATAAGACTCATAAGTTAAGACTATCATGTTTTGTGGACGTGTGTAGATGCAATGCCAGATGTGAGATTTTTTAGTGTTTGGGTTGAGGCAAAGGATTCTGTCCGTAGCATGAAATCTTGAGGAAATGCTGTTGACATTAGATCCCTGCATGTTTTTAGCGTAATATCGTCGAGCTCAGTTCCTCTTGACTATTTAAGAGTGTGCAAGTTCTTGAGGGCCAGGAAGGCCCTGCTTGCGTAGGCCGTAGGCGTTTCTGTGCGTAGAAGAAAGGCAGGACAGCGTTCAACTTTTAGCCAGGTTTTGGCCCATGCCTTCGTGTGGTTTCCGGTGTGAATAGCGCGTGTCTTTCATAATATGCCTACTTCGCGAAAAAATCCGCCATCGTTGGTAGCCTCAACGCAAGAGCCGTCAAGCCTTACAGCTCCGCACCGACGGCTAAGGTTCAGGATTATGGTCGCTTCAGCTAGTTGCCCCACCAAATGGAGCCCAACATAAGTCCCGCTCATGAATCTTTACAAAGTTTTAAACTCATACGCTCTCGGCCCAGGTTCTCCGCAAGTAAATGCAGCAGAGGAACATGTTAAGCCTTGAGCGGTCAGTGAACACTAAAATCTTAAACCTTCAACCCTGGGTCTGTAAGGCCACGGAAGCCGAGCTGCAGTTCCAAACCGGCCAGGAGGTCAGAACAGTCCTTCGGTTTAGGGTTTAGGGTTTGGGTTTTTTCAACGGGTTCATAAGGATTATATAACATGCCCAATAATGCGAATCAAATGCACAGCCAAACTGAGAATGAAATTGGACACTGGAATTATGTGATGGATTAGAGATCGGGATGAGGGGGCTGACGGATTCAAGGCTTGTGTTGGAGAGCGGCAATAAGTGAACAGATGATGAGTAGCTAAACGGGAATTGTAGTTAAACTGCAAATGGGGCTATTACACAGGGGCTCCTAGGGGCAGGGAGTTCAGGGTTGGGGTCCAGGCCAATACATGTCCGGGGTCCTATGAGGGTAAAGCTGTTTTGAAAAGCCCCCGTTTTGTCACTAACAATAATTCCCAAGATTCCCCACGAAGCATCAGCAAGTAGGGCAGTTCAATTAACATAGAAACTTATTTTTTCAGCACTATTCCCCGGTATAGGTATAGTACAGCATATCATCATAACCATCCCAAAGCCTTCTTGAATGCAACAACAACCCCCCCATAGAAACCGACTTCCCATTTCTTTCCATTTGGTTCTCCATTATTGCAATGTTCAGGCCCCGCCCTACGCCTTGAACTCTTAACCCTCAACCCCAACCTAAACTCTGAGCAGCCTAAACCCTTATCAGCCTTATTCCAATCCTGTATGCCCCTGCAATACCGGAGGCGCTCTCTCCTCCGGAAATTCAGAAAGCTGTGGCTGACTGCGAGGCAGCTTGCTTCCGGTTCGGGGAGAGCTTAAAGAGCTCGGCTTAAGGTTCAGGGTTGGGGGTGTGTACAGTAGGGTTTAAAGTAGTCCCATATGTATGGGACTTGGAGGGTAT